GCCCAGCACGTCAAGAAATTAGAGAAATTGCAAAGGTTTGCAACAAGACTAGTCTCAGAGATAAGGGGATTGTCCTATGAAGAAAACTTAAGGGAAATCGGCCTGACGACACTGGAGGACAGGAGGGTCAGGGAAGACATGATAACGAAATATAAAATACTACGTGGCATAGACAAGGTGGACAAAGACAGGATGTTCCAGAGATGGGACATAGAAACAAGGGTCACAATTGGAAGTTGAAGACTCAGATGAGTCAAAGGGATGTTAGGAAGTATTTCTTCAGTCATAGAGTTGTCAGGTAGTAGAATATCCTAGAAAGTGACGTAATGGAGGCGGGAACCATACATAGTTTTAAGATGAGGTTTGATAAAGCTCATGGAGCGGGGAGAGAGAGGACCTAGTAGCAATCAGTGAAGAGGTAGGGCCAGGAGCTATGAATCGACCCTTGCAACCACAAATAGGCGAGTACAGGTGCTATGAATCGACCCCTGCAGCCACAATTAGGTGAGAACACACGCACGCACGCAAACCTCACTCCAAGAAAAGGATCATACCAAGCACATCTGAGGCGCACATCAATCAAATAACTGCTGCCGTACATGGGCGCCTGGCAAACCTAAGAATAGCGTTTCACCACCTAATAAGGAGTCATTCAAGACACTGTACATGGTGTAGGTCAGGCCCATATTAAAGTTTGCAGCACTAGTATGGAATCCACGCCTGGCCAAGCACGTCAAGAAATTAGAGAAGTGCAAAGGTTTGCAACAAGACTAGTCCAGGAGCTAAGAGGTATGTCCCATGAGGAGAGGTTAAGGGAAATCAACCTGACAACACTGGAGGACAGAAGGAATAGGGGGGGACATGATAACGACGTATACGATACTGAGAATTGACAGTGTGGACAGGAACAGAATGTTTCAGAGATGGGACACAGAAACAAGCGGTCACAACCGGAAGATGGAAAACTCAGATGAGTCTCAGGGTTCTCAGGAAGTATTTCTTCGGTCAGGAAGTAGAACAGTCTGGAGAGTGAAGCAGTGGAGGCAGGATCCATACATAGCTTTAAGAGGTACGATAAAGCTCATGGAGCAGAAAGTGGACCTAGTAGCGATCAGCAAAGAGGTGGGGCCAGGAGCTGTGAATCGAGCCCTGCAACCACAAATAGGTGAGTACACAGTGTAAGTCTGTCTCGCTTGTGTAAGCATGTCGCCTGAGGTCGCTGCCATCATCGCAGCAATTTTTTTTAGAAGTTTCTCAATACGAGAATATATACATCGAGATGTGTGTATCTCTTGGTATATATACACTGAGAATTTACTTTAATCCTTACTTGAAGGGTTGTGATGAATGGTTTGAAAAACCGACAAGTTGAAGATTGAGACACTTATGAAACATATGGGAATCTTTATTCAGGAAACGTTTCGCCACACAGTGGCTTCATCAGTCCGATACAAAGTAGAAAGGCGTAAGGAGAGGAGGAGTTTGAGTAATCAGTCCCTCAGCCTGGAGTCGATGTGTTCAGTCCATCAATGCTGTACATTCTACAAGATTGATGGACTGAACACATCGACTCCAGGCTGAGGGACTGATTACCTCAAACTCCTCGTCTCCTTACGCCTTTCTACTTTGTATCGGACTGATGAAGCCACTGTGTGGCGAAACGCTTCCTGAATAAAGATTCCCATATGTTGCATAAGTGTCTCAATTTTCAACTTGAAGGGTTGTTGACAGGTGGTGAACAGGTTACATGCAGCCTTAATTGTAGACATAAGCCTACATGGCTAGTTACCATAGTTTCCCCCAGAGGGCAAGCCTGGTGGGCATGCCACTTCAACCCGCATCACCCTGTCTCGCCCTCACTCGGGCGGCTGACTTTACTGAGTCAACGAGGTCTACTCAGTCACTCTCTCCCTGGGCATGGCCTTCCGGGGCCAGGGCAACTTAACACACTGCCTGTGTACCACGAACCGTAAATAAAGTAAGAAGCCTCCGAAGAGTATCATTGACTATCGCTAGCAGCAACAACACCTAAATTATTCTATGATATAATGACCCTTGTGGAGTCGATAGGTCTTAAGCACATTAAACTAACCCAAGCGAAAAAGTGGAACCAGGGGCTCTGATTCGACCCCTGCAACCTCATATAGGCGAGTACACAAACACATTCATACATAAATCTATCTTTTCGACATCTAAGTAAAAGTCAATCACGGCACTTGTTATAGTAGGCTGTTTGTGATAATTGTAATGGGTAGGTTGAACTACAAAAACTAGTTAGAGAATACAATAATTGTTGCTATATTCAATTCAGTCTGATTTTCTGCTGGTACAGAACTGGTGTTCGACGACGGACGTTGACACTGGGGGTATTCCAAATTTCCTCCCATATCTCTCACCCCAGTAAGTTATGATGATGTGTAGATTAAAGACTTGACGCTCTAGTATTTTCCAAATACAATATATATTATCATGTAGTTCTTCGTAATTCCTGAGAACACATTCCAGGTACTTTGAAGTGTTCCCAGTAACTTAGACGTTTTATTTGACTGGGGGGGAGTAAATTATTATTAGTATTATCAAGGGGAAGCGCCAAACCCGTAGGATTATACAGCGCATATGGGGGAGGGATGTGGGAGGTATTCAGGTTAATTCAGGGAACTGGAACACAGATCCATTTCCCTAGATCAAGAGCCCCTCACCAGCGTCAAGGAAACTTCCTTAAGTGGATGGAGACAGTAAAGGATCTCGACATTTTCCGGCTGTGGTTAATGGGGGTTTAAAGCCTGTCAACTACACAAGGATTATTAATGCTATATGCAACCTTTTCGCCACCATATAAGAATAATTTAATTCCTAAAATAGGGTTTAAAATAAACTTCAGCAAATATTCTTAGAAATATACACCTATACTCTATGTCCTGCCATGTAAGCCTCAGTAATGCTCCAGACGTGAGAACACGAGGTATTTGAGAAATATGTATCATTAGCAATGTCTTCTATTGTTTTAAAAGTTTTAACAATCCGACCTTCATTGTCATGATCGTTGATGTGCTTGACTTATTTTGTTCACTGAAAGAAAGGTCAGTGATAGTAACATTTGTAGTGGAATTTTCCAGTAACACCTTTGAATTGTAATCATTGCAGTAGTTTGACGCAGTGTGTAATAAAGGTCGCTTGGTTCATTTGACACGATACTTATCAAGTACACGAGGCTCATTAAGGCTACACATCTGTATACCACCAGTCAAGGATACTTTAATACCTAAAATACGGTAGTTGATACAGTGCCGTTCTTAATGAATATACAGTTTGTATGTTTATGTATAATAATAATTATTATTATTATTAGTGATATAATGATGCCAAATGCTCTATTTTAGGGCAGTACCATTAAAATTAGCCGATACTCAACGATACCGATACTTTGGCACACCCATTAATATAATAATAATAATAATAATAATAATAAATTAGTCATAGAAAACTGAGTGGAGGGGTTACTCACCTAGTCCAGGTTGGTATTTCAATCATCAAAACATTCATAATCTTACTTTCTTTCATTTATTTTTTTAGGTAATGTATGAACGACTGAACTCGTGTGTGTGGGTCATTCATTTGTAAGGGCTCAATTCTGACCCCTAATAGGAGTTTGTGCGTGGGTGATTGTAGGTATCTACCTGGGTGTAAATGTACACGAGTGTAATAACTGTACGTGGGTGTCACTGCTCGTTGGTGGAGGCAATGTACGTGGATGTATCTATGGGATGAGAATATACATGGGTGTGATTGTACATGGGTAACGTGGAGTGTAGGTAGGTGGTATGGAGTGTAAGTAGGTGGTGGGAAGTGTAGGTAGGTGGTGGGAAGTGTAGGTAGGTGGTGTGGAGTGTAGGTAGGTGTGGGAAGTGTAGGTACATGGTGTGGAGTGTAGGTAGGTGGAGTCGAGTGTAGGTAGGTGGGTGGTGTGAAGTGTAGGTAGGTGGTGTGGAATGTAGGTAGGTAGGTGGGTGGTGTGGGGTGTTGGTGGGTGATGTGGAGTGTAGGTTGGTGGGTGGTGTGGAGTGTAGGTGGGTGGTGTGGAGTGTAGGTGGGTGGTGTGGAGTGTAGGTAGTTGGGTGGTAAGGAGTGTAGGTGGGTGGTAAGGAGTGTAGGTAGGTGGTGTGGAGTGTAGGTAGGTGGTGTGGAGTGTAGTATGGTGTAGGTAGTTGGTGTGGAATGTAGGTAGGTTGTGTGTAGTGTAGGTAGGTGGTGTGAAGTGTAGCTAGGTGCTGTAAAGTGTAGGTAGGTGGGTGGTGTGGGGTGTTGGTGGGTGGTGTGGAGTGTAGGTTGGTGGGTGGTGTGGAGTGTAGGTGGGTGGGTGGTGGTGTGGAGTGTAGGTGGGTGGGTGGTGTGGAGTATAGGTAGTTGGGTGGTGTGGAGTGTAGGTAGGTGGTGTGAATGTAGGTAGGTTGTGTGTAGTGTAGGTAGGTTGTGTGTAGTGTAGGTAGGTGGTGTGGAGTGTAGGTAGGTGGTGTGGAATGTAGGTAGGTTGTGTGTAGTGTAGGTAGGTGGTGTGAAGTGTAGCTAGGTGCTGTAAAGTGTAGGTAGGTGGGTGGTGTGGGGTGTTGGTGGGTGGTGTGGAGTGTAGGTTGGTGGGTGGTGTGGAGTGTAGGTGGGTGGGTGGTGTGGAGTGTAGGTGGGTGGGTGGTGTGGAGTATAGGTAGTTGGGTGGTGTGGAGTGTAGGTAGGTGGTGTGGAGTGTAGGTAGGTGGTGTGGAATGTAGGTAGGTTGTGTGTAGTGTAGGTAGGTGGTGTGAAGTGTAGCTAGGTGCTGTAAAGTGTAGTAGGTGGGTGGTGTGGGGTGTTGGTGGGTGGTGTGGGTGGGGGGTGTAGGTGGGTGGTGTGGAGTGTTAGGTGGGTGGTGTGGAGTGTAGGTGGGTGGTGTGGAGTGTAGGTGGGTGGTGTGGAGTATAGGTAGTTGGGTGGTGTGGAGTGTAGGTAGGGGGCACGGGAACACTCACTGGAGGGTAGTGTCCGTGGCGGTGGCTGGAGCAGTACTGGACCTGGGACTGGAATTAGTGAGTAACATTGAGGCAGCCGCTACAACCTAGTTGTAGTCGTAGTCTTCTTCATGAGTAAGACTCGTGCTGTGTAGCACTTGGGTATATCTCTTGCTGAAAGGTTTCTCCTGTATAGCAGGCTGCTCTAGTTGAATACAGAGTTGACGGTGATACTGGAGACAGTACAAGTGGAGAGGTAATGTTGAGGTGTTCAGTCCTTCAGCCCTGATTGAAGGTGTACAGTCTTTCAACCCTGATTTAAGGGGTTCAATCCTTCAGCCTTGATTGACGGGGTTCAGTCCTTCAGCCTTGATTGAAGGTATTCAGTGCCTCAACCTTGTTTGAAAGCGTTAGCCTTGTTTGAAAGTGTTCAGTCTCAGCCTTAATAGAAAATGTTCAGTTCCTCAGTCTTGATAGAAGGTGTTGATCGCTCAGTCTTGATTGAAAGTGTTCACCGAAAACCAGCACTTAGGAAAGAAGCCTGAAGATGACGTTTCGGTCCATCCCGGACCATTATTAGGTCTCATTGTCCTGGATGGACCGAAACGTCGTCATAAGGTTCCTCTCCTGAGTGCAGAGTTTTGGTAAATTGATCCAACCACGGTATTGTGATTGTTTTTATTCTTGATTAAAGGTGCTCGGTCTTCAGCCTTGATTGAAGGTGCTCATTCTTCAGCCTTGATTGAAGGTGCTCATTCTTCAGCCTTGATTGAAGGTGCTCATTCTTCAGCCTTGATTGAAGGTGCTCATTCTTCAGCCTTGATTGAAGGTGCTCATTCTTCAGCCTTGATTGAAGGTGCTCATTCTTCAGCCTTGATTGAAGGTGCTCATTCTTCAGCCTTGATTGAAGGTGCTCATTCTTCAGCCTTGATTGAAGGTGCTCATTCTTCAGCCTTGATTGAAGGTGCTCATTCTTCAGCCTTGATTGAAGGTGCTCATTCTTCAGCCTTGATTGAAGGTGCTCATTCTTCAGCCTTGATTGAAGGTGCTCATTCTTCAGCCTTGATTGAAGGTGCTCATTCTTCAGCCTTGATTGAAGGTGCTCATTCTTCAGCCTTGATTGAAGGTGCTCATTCTTCAGCCTTGATTGAAGGTGCTCATTCTTCAGCCTTGATTGAAGGTGCTTATTCTTCAGCCTTGATTGAAGGTGCTCATTCTTCAGCCTTGATTGAAGGTGCTCATTCTTCAGCCTTGATTGAAGGTGCTCATTCTTCAGCCTTGATTAAAGGTGCTCATTCTTCAGCCTTGATTAAAGGTGCTCATTCTTCAGCCTTGATTAAAGGTACTCATTCTTCAGCCTTGATTAAAGGTGCTCATTCTTCAGCCTTGATTGAAGGTGCTCATTCTTCAGCCTTGATTAAAGGTGCTCATTCTTCAGTCTTGATTGAAGGTGCTCATTCTTCAGCCTTGATTAAAGGTGCTCATTCTTCAGCCTTGATTAAAGGTGCTCATTCTTCAGCCTTGATTGAAGGTGCTCAGTCTTCAGCCTTGATTAAAGGTGCTCATTCTTCAGCCTTGATTAAAGGTGCTCAGTCTTTCAGCCTTGATTGAAGGTGTTCGGTCTTTCAGCCTTGATTGAAGGTGTTGAGTCCCTCATCTTGAAACAGGGAGGAGACCTGTATACCAGACCCAGGGATGAAGTGCAGCAGTTGATGACGGTGTTACATGTGGGCGGGGCCCAATAGTGGAAATATTTCAAGCTGCACCTCATCTTTGGCGTACAAGTCTCCACATTTACTGAACATCTTCAATAAAGGTTTAGGGACTGAACACCTTCAGTCAAGGTTGAGAAGCTGAATGCCTTCTATCGAAGTTGAGGAGATGAACACCTTCAATCAAGGATATTGGACAGAACACCTGCAATCAAAACTGGGAAACTGAACATCTTCAATTAAGGCTTAGGGACTGAATATCTTCAGTCAAATCTAAGGAACTGAACATTTTCAGTCAAGGTGGTTGAGGGACTGAACACTTTCAGTTAAGGCTGAGGAATTGAACACCTTCAGTCAAGTCCGAGGAACTGACCACCTTCAATCAAGGCTCAGGAACTGACCACCTTCAATCAAGGCTCAGGAACTGACCACCTTCAATCAAGGCTCAGGAACTGACCACCTTCAATCAAGGCTCAGGAACTGACCACCTTCAGTCAAAGTTTAAGGACTGAACTCAGAATCACCTTTCCACTTGTACTGTCTGCTGTATTATTATCACCTCTATATTCTCCTGAAGAAGCCTCTGCTCTACAGGCGAAACCTTTCAACAATAAAGATACTGGTGTGTTGCGCATGGGTCTTATTCATCAACTTGTCGCTATTGTATACCATTAATATAATCGTCGTAGTTGTCTTATTCGTCAACACAGCAGCTGCCAGTCTTCACATTAATTGATTAGAAGTAAACAAGTCAAGCATAATCGAACTGAACGTCCTTCTCAAATTGAATACACACCTCTTATCCACTCGTTAATGGACTGGGGGAGGTGAGGTTACTGCCTTCCCTCTCCTCCGGTCTCAAACCTGACCTGTTTGCTCACTTTATGAATCAATCTATTTGTGCTAGCAGCAAGCAGTCCATGGTAAGCTCCCACGTCCCGGCTGATGAGGAATTGTCTGATGGAAGTTCTTGCGTTGCTTCCTGCAGACATCCACTCACACTAATGTACTAATGGCAGACACGCCCATGGCAGATACGCTCATCGTTAAACAGAACAGAATGCAGTGATCTACAGAACAGCACTCTCAAAAAATCATTGTTTCGTAGATCGCTTGAGGCCAAGAGAACATCACGTGTAAACTGAACATCGTGTGTACACTAATGACTCTCTTTAGCAATTTGCAGACCATTATCAGCAGATTAGTCTAACCTAAATAACCTAAATCTAGAAATCTTCTGAAAGCGTTATGTAAAAAAAAAAACTGTTCCGACTCGGACTATGTAAGACACATATGCAACAGTTAGGTATCTTTATTTCGAAACGTTTCGCCTACACAGTAGGCTTCTTCAGTCGAGTACAGAAAAGTTGATAGAAGTTCTGTACTCGACTGAAGAAGCCTACTGTGTAGGCGAAACGTTTCGAAATAAAGATACCTAACTGTTGCATATGTGTCTTACATAACAACCTGTCGGTGTTTTATACCATTTTAATGTTCAATCAGTGTGTGGACTAGTTAATGGTCGGACCGAAACGTCGTCATAAGTTTGTTTCTCCTGTGTGCGGGATATTTGTGTATTACTCCTAACTGTGCCTCTGAGAAAAGCAACTGGGCCACCACATTCAACATAACCGTAACCCAGACTTTAGTGACTTCAGGCACGATGATGAATTTAACACTTGTTGTCGAATATAATAACAGCAATAGTAACAATCGGGCCTCATGGAATGAGGTCCTTGGAACCTTTAGTACTTCACTTTAGAAATTCGAGGATTTCTTTATTGTTGACCTTATGTTTACTGGCACTAGCAAGGAAGCACTTGACTTGTACTCGCTGGAACGCAGGCGAGAGAGAGAGATCATAATCTACGCTTGGAAAATCCTAGAAGGAATGGTTCCTAATCTACACACACAAATTTTGCAGGCGGTACAAAATACCCCCAATGAAAAGTAGGGGCGCCATTGGTACACTGAGAGAAAACATAAGTGTCCGGGGTCCAAGACTGTTTAACAACCTCCCACCATGCATAAGGGAAATTACCAATAGGCCCCTGGCTGCCTTCAAGAGGGAGCTGGACAGATAGTCGGTGCCGGATCAGCCGGGCTGTGGCTCGTACGTTGGACTGCGTGCGGCCAGCAGTAACAGCCTAGTTGATCAGGCCCTGATCCATCGGGAGGCCTGGTCATGGACCGGGCCGCGGGGGCGTTGATCCCTGGAATAACCTCCAGGTGCCGGATCAGCCGGGCTGTGGTTCGTACGTTGGACTACGTGCGGCCAGAAGTAACAGCCTGGTTGACCAGGCCCAGATCCACCTGGAGGCCTGGTCGTGGACCGGACCACGAGAGCGTTGATCCCCGGAATTACCCTCCAGGTAGGAACTCGGAACACTCGATTGGATATGTGGTTTTAGCGCCTCTCCTTGATTGTTATAGTTGTTTGTAGTGTGTGCTGTACTAATTAATTATGAAAAATACCGAGGTGCAGTGAAAATAACAGAAGAAATACTTGAGGCTTTAGTGCATTTACACAAATTATTGGTTCGGGTTCTATCCCCCCCCCCCGTGGTATGGTTTAAATTATTGGTGTTCGGCTCACCTCAGGAACTTTATTCTTTCCCGAGTAGCAAGTCTATGGCTATAATGTAATGGTCAATTGTGCCTTTGTAGTGGTTCATATTTGTATCACGGTACTACCTTTGTATCACGGCACTACCTTTGTAACCCCCCACCACTTCTGTAACAAACACCACAACCTCTAACTCTTTCCCATCCAAACCATTTTGCCTCCATCCCTCTCCATCTGCCTTCTTCCTGAGAGATGGTAATTCTTAAGTAATAGCAACGCCAGCTTTGCTGGAAAGAAATCTTGGAAGCTCCCATAGCTGATGATGAACCCTTATGAGAATACTTGACGATATACTCATTGCCATGCTGCAGCTTGTGTGATGGACTATGCCAGGAAACAGCTAGCTCTTGTTCCCATTATGATGGACTATGCCAGGAAACAGCTAGCTCTTGTTTCCATTATGTACCTATCATATAGAATAGAGTAGCAGCACATTGCCATTGTACCCAGTTGTAATAAAAAAAATATCTCGGTTCCTTTCTACCCCCTCCCCATCCCATCCCATTATAACTATCAATCAACCAGACAAGAACTCAAAATAATTGACTCTTCTTCACCCCTCTTCAGACTGCAACACACGCAGCACCAATTACTTTTAACAGCGTTGCTGCTGCTAAATGTAATAGCAGACCTGGTATATTTTTATTTTTGTAATGTTGCCTCTCCAGGAAATGGTGTGTGGATTTACCTTCAGTCTTTGTTATGGAGAAGCTTTTTTTTTTTTTTTTTTTTTTTTTTTTTTTTTTTTTTTTTTTTTTTTTTTTTTTTTTTTTTTTTTTTTTTTTGGTTCTTGCTTGTTTGCGCCTGCTCTAGGGCTGCTCCCTGTGTTATTTTGTAAACATTTCTCCCAGTCTCGATCCAAAGGCGACATTAATAAACAATAGAGGTGCTGAAAAAAATTATTATTATGACAACTCTTCGCTCTAGAGCATTTTCAAGACAAATTTGACTTGTTAAAGCTCTACATAGAGCGAAATATTCTTAATGAGAACTGGCTCTGCGCCTCTGTTTTTACTTCATTCCTTCACTCTTCTATTTAATTCTCATTAAAAAATAAATAGATTTC